GTGAGGATCACCAGCCCCGTCGCCTGGCTCCGCACCCGCTTCTACTACCTCCTCATCCGTCTCTACTTCGACCGCGAGTTCAGCGTCGAGGAGTTCACCCGCGGGGCCAAGCAGGTGAGCGCCGGGCGGGGAACATGGGGCTTCCAGGTGTTTTAGAGACTTCCCCGGGACAGGTTTCTGTCTCCTCCGAGACGTTTTTTTTGTCAAGGGAGCGTGTGGAAGAGTTGGGTGATGTCAAGGCTAACGGTGTAAAAATCGCAGGGCTACCTGCGGTGAAATGTCAGTTACTTTATTCGGTTTTAAAAATATCAAACGATAAGCCGGAAGGAAACTCACAAGAAATTTGCACGAAGTAGACAATTCGAATTATCGGAGAGAGAGTAAAGGCTGCTTATATGGATTGTTGTAATGTCGTTTTGGGTTTAGTGGGTTTTTTTTTAGTAAGCTGTGCATTCACTTGCCTGTTAGCAAAAGTTTTGGTGCTGTAATGAGAGATTGAAACCTTACATTTTTATCAGTTCATAAAATCACTTTTTTAATGCTGGAGAGCTTCCATTTCAGTGGCAATACACTCTGCAAACATTGACATTTTAAATCGTGGGATACCCAGGTGGCTTGTCACGTAGTGATGGATTCATCTGAAACATAAGCCAACCTAGTGCTATTTTTTCAAGTATTTATTTGTTGGGGGGTTTTTTGTTTGTTTTTCCTTTGGTAGGCCTTTTCTGTTGTTTCAAAGCTGCTGTCTCAACGTAAACTTGACCTGCTGGACGAACTTGTATCCGCAGAGGTAAGTGTTTTCCACCTCTTCTTTAGCAATTGTTTTTCCATTATGAAGTAACATGCATTCAGCCTGTTATTATCTACAAATACTGCCAGTTGTGTTTAATTTGGGAAAACAACATAATACAGAACAGGGCAATTGTTTGTCCTGCAGCTTTTTTTTTTATGTTTAATTTCAAAGTGTGAAACTTAAAGTTACTGTATTTAAAAAAGAAAGTAATAAGAATTCTTGCAATTGAGCATAAGGACCAATTGCTGAAGGGATTGTGGGTGTGCCAGAGAGGATCGAAAGGCCGTGGGTTCAGGATGGCAGGTGGAATTGCATTCCCCTGTTGGTGTAGGGAGGTGTCGAACACTTTGGGTCTGTGCGGCAGAACTCAGATGAAGAAAGGAGCTGGTTTGTGCTTGTCCTTGCCGCACTCGTGCGTTCCCACCCCCAAGCCGATCATCACAGAGCCAATTTACTGCTTTCAGCTGAAAGGCCTCAGACTTGGATTACACTCTCAGGGATGTGGCTGACTTGGCTAGTTAAATGTTGGTGCTGTGTGTTCGGTGTTTTTAAGGATTTTTAATTGCTGAAGTTGTCTTGGCCTTCCCAGGGGACGGAGGTAGCAGATGCTTCAGAGTCAAGTGGAGGAGACACTTCAGGTCTATGTCTGCTTTGTTGCTGGATGTCAGCTTGGCCTGCCCTAGTGCCACCCATGCCCTTGCAGCAAAAGTTTTGGTGCTGTTCTAGTGCATCCCCACTGGACAATCTTGCCTCCTCTCTCTGAGCAGAGATAGCAATGAAAAGTGAGTTTGTTTCTTATAGTTATTTCGAAAGAGCGTCTCCTCTTCCTCTGGTCATAGAATCAGACACTAAGAATCATAGAATGGCCTAAGCTTGAAAGGACCTTAGAGATCATTTTAATCCAGCCTCCCTGCCGCCAGGGACACCACCTCTCGACTAGATCAGGCAACACATCTTAAGTTCTTCAGGTGGCTGAGTTAGTGCTGATCCAGAGAACTCATGGAGCCAGAGCATGGTGAGGCTGTGATACTGCGCCACTCGGTTGTTTATTTGGTCAGTGAATTTTATACCTGCAAAATGTACTAGAAGCCAATGTCTTCTAGTCAAGATTGCCTTTTGCTTCCATGTGACCTCTGGATTTGTTTGTTATTCAAAAATGGCAATTCAATTTAGGCTAAAAACTGAGTATAAGTTAGAAAAAAGTGCTGCACAGCTTCATCCTTCCTTGCGACATGTCTTTCTCATGTGGTGTTTGAGGTGATGCCTCTGCTCCGTTTGTGTATCACACCCTTTTCCCACTTCACACGGCTGCGTAGGTCTGGCCTTGTGGCCAGGAAGGCCAATGGCATCCTGGGGTGTATTAGAAGGGGGGTGGTTAGCAGGTCACGAGAGGTTCTCCTTCCTCTCTACTCTGCACTGGTGAGACCACATCTGGAATATTGTGTCCAGTTCTGGGCCCCTCAGTCTAAGAAGGTTAAGGAACTGCTGGAGAGAGTCCAGCGTAGAGCAACCAAGATGATGAAGGGAGTGGAGCATCTCCCTGATGAGGAAAGGCTGAGGGAGCTGGGTCTCTTTAGTTTGGAGAAGAGGAGACTGAGGGGTGACCTAATTGATGTTTATAAATATGTAAGGGGTGAGTGTCACGAGGATGGAGCAAGGCTCTTCTCGGTGACAACCGATGGTAGGACGAGGGGTAATGGGTTTAAACTGGAACACAAGAGGTTCCACCTAAACTTGAGAAGAAACTTCTTCTCAGTAAGGGTTACAGAGCCCTGGCCCAGGCTGCCCAGGGAGGGTGTGGAGTCTCCTTCTCTGGAGACATTCAAACCCCTCCTGGACGCGTTCCTGTGTAACATCGTCAAGGTGTTCCTGCTCCGGCGGAGGGATTGGACTGGATGGTCTTTCGAGGTCCCTTCCAGTCCCTAACATTCTGTGATTCTTAGGACACTAAATACTATAGAGGTGAATACAGCATGGAACTTCGGTCTCAAAGCGATTATTTTTCAGTCTTTTCTGATTCACAGGTATTTAAACTTATAATAGGAATGTGGGTCACAAACTTGCAAAGCTAATAGTGGTAATAGAACTGATTTTCAGAGAAATTTGTGAAAGGAGAACTAAGAAATAATTGAATTGAAAGCTGAGTAATATATACATAGCGAGAAACAGCAATGAGAAGGCAGAGTATAAGTATGATTGTGGAAGAAAGCTTGGCTGGCATTTTCTGGCGTTATGTGCCTTGCTGTTCTGACAGTGTCTTTTCTAAACTTCCTTTTTAAAAGTAGAAACAGAGAATCGTAGAATGGTTTGAGTTTGAGGGAACTTTAAAGATCATCTAGTTCCACCCCCCCTGCCATGGGCAGAGACACCTCACACAAAAACACTTGGTTTTCCCTGGTTTGAGCAGTAAATGGGTCTTTAATATCACTGAATTAGGGTTTGAGAGTTCCCCAAACTTCCCAGAGCTTTTTCACTTTCACTATTTTATTATGTTTTACAAATGCTTTTTATTAACTGCAGTAGAAAAATTTGTTCCTTCAGTTTCCCACTGAAAAGCTAAGTGACAGTTTTTCTGAATTTAGGTACTTCGGGTGTTGAAGGAAAAGATTTCTTTGCTCCCTGACAACCACAGGGATGCTTTAGCAGCTGACATTGATGCAATCATGTACACAACAGAAGGAGATGTTCGCATTTACTTTGATGATGATGGTAGGTGTAGAATCCTAAAACATTTCAGCAACCTGCAGTCCTTATTTCCTGATTTTACTACTAAGCAGACATTCTCCTTATAGATGTACTTTTGAGTGCTGTTTCTCATTCCTTGTTTCTTTTCCATTTAGAGTTCTAACCTACATATAATTCCTTGATTTCCTTTTAAACCAGAAACTGAGAGATTATCGTTAATAATTCATGGTACTGTTTTGACTTCCATTCAGATTTTGCTCATTTCTCGTCTTTTGTAATTTCAGATTTTTACATTATTAGTCCTTAGCAGTCTCAAACCACTCAAAACCAGTTATTCCACTGTATGCAGAAAGCTGCTTGCTTCAGCAGTGAAAATACATCTTCCAAGAGCAATAGTGAAGGCTGGATAATGAAATCAGTTTTGCTGTCTTCACTTCTATTCTGTTTTCACTGAATATATTTTATTCTAGGAGTTTCTGAATTATTTTTTTTCTTAGGCTAGTGATGAGTTCAAACAAATTTTTCATTTGGTTGAATACCAGTATTATGTGCTCAGTTCGCTATGAGACACAGTTAAGATGGTTTATATCCCAATAAGTATTTCAAGTTGTCAGACTTAGTGAGCTTTTTTCCTATTTTGGGAGATAAGGATTTTTCTTCCTCTTGGATTGGTCCTGAGTTAGAACTACTCTGCGTACTTTCGTAGCATCAGTAGTTTGCTTTGGACTTTTGCGGTAAGCAGCTTTTTTTCGTACAGTTTGATTATGTACAGTGTCACACAACGCTCATGATAAAATACGTACCTTTCTACAGAGTGTATTTTTGTTGTTGCTAAACAGCATGAATATGAGTTTATGTAGCTTTATTATTCATTATTCTGTCCTGTGTTCTTTATGGCTGAAGTCAGCTGCCCGTCCAGAATCTCACTAGAATACAGGCGAAGTAGCAAACAGGAGTATTTGGCCAATGAGAAACGTGAGATCTACCTTCTGCTTTGATTTATTTCCAACAGGAAGGAAGTTTGTTAGCATCCTGATGCGGTTCTGGTATCTGAACGGTGCTAACCTACCTGATGAAGTCCCAGGTGAAACCAAGGTTTTCCAGATTGTGTTTGGAGATGAAAGCACAAAAGAAAAAAGGCATCTTTTAACAGCAAACTATGAGTAAGTTTACTTGTCCCTTTTTTTTTCCCCATGTCATTCTCACTGTGCCAGTGCAGAACTCAATATGTTTTAATTTACCTTAAGTTAGTTCTCATCCAGCTTTCCAGTTTTGATTCTGGGGCCAAATTTTTTAAATACTCCTTAATGTCATCATGTTACTTCCTTGCTTCTGATTTGACGTTAATGGTAGCTCTATCAGGAAAAGCAATAGTTGGAGCATTGAATGAGGTTTCTGATACTTTTCCTGTACTGCTCCTGCAGCTTTCAGGAAATAGGCCAATATCAGTTTTTGTTTCCTACTTCTTGTTGCCCAGCTAACAGCAATGCAGTCAAGCCAAACAGTCAAGTATTGCACTTCCCACATAAAAGTCACAGAACTGTAATTAGCTGAGAAAGTAGGTTGTGAAAGAGAAAATTATTTACCGAATTGCTTTCTGCAGAAAGGCAGAGCAAAGCAAACATCACCTGGTGTCCAGGTAATTCATGCCTCTCTGATCCAAGCCCCCGGTGCCCACATTAAGTAGATGAATTTTGACAGGAGTGCTTGTATACAATGTCTGCTAACGTCCTGAGGTTGGAAAAATATCTGCACAGTTGGCAAAATGTGTGGAAAGTAATGTCCTTGGAAGATGGAGAAAGTGAGGAGTTTTATGTGAGAAATGCAATATAATCCATGACTTCTGCAGCCGTGTTTGAAATGGAGACACTGTCGGGTGTAGCTGAGGAGCTCTGAAACAAAGGAACTGCACTGAGGACACCAGTGCTTTTTGCCTGCACCAGTTTTTGTGATCCATCCCTTAGCTGAACCCAGCACCTCCCTTAGAGCTGGAGGCTCCGTTAACCTCAAGAGCCTGCCCTTAAAGCCCTGGATACCTTCCTAATTCCCAGCAGAGAGATCTTTGCAAGTGTCTATTCCTTCTGCTGTTTACAGCACCAACCTGAGCTCAAAGCGGGAGAGATGCCGCAGGCTTTGGAAGTCTGGTGTCTGCAGAACATGGTTTCCAGGCTTGGATTTGCACATAATTTCAAAGCATTGAGGTCACACTGCTCTTGTCCAGGAGGCACAGGCTACTTGAGAGTGTGAATATTCATCTTGAAGCTGAGACTTCTCTTCAGATGACAACTGACATGCTCAGGGAGGAAGACAGTAGTGACTACAAAAGGAAGACTCTTTGAAAATAGGGGTGGACATTTTCACTTTCCTGTGAACATCTGCAGAATATTCTTTCAGGGAGATTCAGTCCTGCTGTTAGCTTGATCTTTGATGTATTTCTGCAAATACGTTACTTTTTAAAATACATTTCAGTGGAAAGTAAAATTTTCAGGTAGCACCTGATTTCCCTTTACAGTGCAGTTGCCATCCCATTAAATGAAACTCTTCATTTAGAGATGAAGATCTGCTACAAAGCTGTGTTCATAGTCACTGCTATGAACACTGAATGCCTTCTTGATATCAGGGTCTTTACTGTTGCTACTTGATCCTGTCTGTGAGATCTGAACCAAAAACTCTGAAGTCAGCGCACTTCATTTTTTAGTTACCGAATTAATTTTCATCTTCCGTTTTTGGGCATAAGCATCAGAGTTGAAGGAGCTTTTACAGGAATAACTTTGACATAATGTATTTCTTCATGATTTTTTGGTTGGTATTAGTAGCTCTTCGAGGATCAAGTAAAAATTGATTTTCTTCCCTTACTGTCTTTCCTTTTCTAGGTTCCAAAGGGAATTTACAGAAGGAGCAAAACCAGAGTGGACAATTACACGAATTGAACATCCGAGGCTATTAGAATAAATGCCTTCTACAGTCTTTTTCTGTATCATTGTAAATGTTCTGATGTGACAAATGTCAGACTTTTTTTGTCTCGATTTTTTTTGGCCTTCTTCTCCGAAAGAGGGATGAATTTTGTATGTTTGATTTCCCAGAACTGTTTCCAAACCTTTCACTATGCTGCAGCGTTACAATAAAGCCTTCTCCCTGGAACAGGCTAATGCAAGTTTAGTTGGTCGCAACGCTCCTCCGAGGCATTTGCACTGTGCAGGTTCACACAGGCTGGTATGGCGGGAGTGTCGGCCGCTTACATTCTGAGAAGAAATGGCACTGCTTGAAGATAAACCACACCTAACAACTGGTGGCCTTTCTGAGTTGTTTTCCTGTTTCTTTTTTCCCTAGGGACTGTACAATATGTAACTGACTAATATGCAGGATGAAATAGAGTCAGAGGACTTCTTAGATTGTTTAGCCTCAGCAGTTCATTTCGAGGTAATCTTGCTTTTGAATATATTTAATAAAGTTAGACCCATTATCAGTATTTGGTACAGGATTGGAGTAAGAAAACTTTTAGCTTTGCACTGGGAAAATTGATCAAAGATACATATATATATATAAAAGTATATATATTTTGAAAAGTAAATACAACATTCCTTTCAATTCAATAGCGTTCAGGCAATTCTAGATTTAGAGGTTTATGAAAGAAAAATGAGGCAAAAGCATAAATTTAAAAGAGGACCCGACTGAAGCTAAATGAAGTCCTCTGAAATGCTTGTTGAAGAAATGAGCAAATCATTAAAGTTAGATGGTGCAACTGGACGTTTCCCAGTTCTCAGATCATCTCCTTTTCTGAAATGTGCGAGTCCTCGTATAAGTAGCTTGAGAATTTTATATGCAGATCAGCATGAGATCATCAGGTTTGATTCCTGCTCGGTCCCCATGTGTTGCCTGGTCTAGTCGAGAGGTGGCGTCCCTGCCCATGACAGGGAGGTTGGACTAGATGATCTCTAAGGTCCCTTCCAGCCTAGGCCAGTCTATGATTCTGTGATCATAACTTCTTTTTTTTTTTTTTGTCCCCTCCCTCAGCTTTAAAGAGAAAGGTAACTTTCTACCCAGCACGGTGCAAGAGAGTCGTGCAGTGTTTTGAAAGCGCAAGGTGTCGTTACTGTGAATCACAGTAGTTTTAATTGAAAGGTATAAATTAAATTTTCTGTAGTTCAGTTCTTTTGGCGCAGTGATTTAATGAGAAAAATGTCTAAAGTTTATTGACAAGTTGTTCTGCCTTTGCAGCAACAGCCTGGCCTTAGAGTGGAGAATTTGTGATTTGTCCTCTGGACAAAGTTCAGTGATGATCGAGAGCCTTGTCTTCAGCAAAATGCTGTATTTAATATATTAACTGTTCTGTATGAGTCAATCTGGAAAAGCTGGAAGCAAAGTGAAAAGATGTTTATTATTCTGTGGGCTGTTTATTTGCTGGAATGATGTTAAATAGTAGCGTGTCCAGTTTGGCCAATGAGTGATGTGCTGCAGAAGCTGCAGTCAGATGTATTTGACGTGGTAAGAGGGAAAAGAAGCAGGACGCTAGCTAAGCATGTGGATGCACTTCTAAAAGTCATTATTGTGGAGCAAAAGAAGACAAAAGCCAGTGGAGCCATCTTCATATTCAGAAATAATCTGCTTTCACATTTAAGTAACAGGTCTATCTAGAAATGCTGGTGTGTCTTAATTTTTTAATTTGGGTTACTTCATTAGTATCTTTTTTATTTGATTGGATATAGTAAAACAGGAGTCTCTGTCATGACTGGTGATGGATGACTCTCTTACTGGTGAGTGCTCCATTTCTGGAAACAAAGGCAGAGACCCTTCTGCGTGACTCATAATAAAAACACTTTTTTGTTTTTCTTGCTATAAAACTGTGACTTGATATGAACATGCTCCAAATTAATGATAATACAGTCTTGATGGAAAAAAAAGATGTCATTGGAAATTTTCATGCACTATTTGATTTTTTCAAAGTTGTGTTTGTGTTGTGGGTTAGGGGGCAGCTGTTGAATGTTTCATTGAGGTTTTTTTCCCCTCTAATCTTCATTCTGAAAATGACCCTAGAGACTGCAGATCTTCATCAGATATGGAACTACCCATTGCACCATAAATAAATCAGAAAGGCATGTACATTACACTAAGCTTACTGTACTGGGAAGCGATTTGCTTCCATGGTGAATAAAATGGGTGTAATTAAACTAGATTCACAGTCTAATATTGCCTTCAGGAAAAAACCACCACCCCATCCAAATAAAAACCCCGCAAAATAATCCCAAACCCAAGTTGGAAGGAATCGATGAACATGTGTCCTAGACAAGAGGACATTTAAGTTTGCAGGAAGCTTTAACTCCTTTTTGCCTGCCATCCTGAAATCCTCCGTCGTAAATCTGATCGTCATAGCGATTGATCAGACTGAAATGAGTGGCAGTCAAGAGCATTTGTCATCTTACGGCATCCACATTTTCTCTGTGGAAATACCTTTCTTCCCTGGGGCTTGTTCAGGCCAGTCAGCAACTTCTGGCTTCTCTGTTGCTGGCCAAAAGCATCTCCTCAAACCTCCTGTTATCGAAGATAAGAAATGTGTTTAGTGTCTTCACGCTAGCTCCTAGTGAACACCTGGCTACATACTATCAAGGGTGTCCCAAATTCTGGCAAAAAGGATAAGTAAATAGTCAAGTTTACTTTGTCTTGATCTAAGATAAAGATCAAGGAGAATATTGTCTGGTAATGCAGGGGTTTCCAGTACTGCCATTCAAACACCTGACTCTTGAAATCATAATACTAACATTAAAAGAGCTAAAGGAAATGTTTTATTACAAACATGTTTGCGATGTGGGGATCATGACCAGAAGCAGCAGAACAGTGTGGGGATCTCTGTCACAGCATGCTGGTGCTTCCACTTGCTCATTTGTCTCAGGCATCACCTTGGAAATCACGCTGTGTAAGGACTGGGACACGTTTTTTTCCTGTCTCCTTGCTGAGTTCCGCTTCTATTGCTTTAAGTCAGGGTGACCAGTACAGTTGTAGTTACGGGGTACGGCCTGTAAGTCCCCATACACTCAGCTAAATGACTTGCAGTTTTAGCCTGCAAACTTTGTCATACAGACCTCAGTAATCCTTGAAAATGATCTTAACAGGCTTGGTAGTGATTTTTAGGGTAAAGTTCATATCTCTATTAGCAGCATTGACATTTCTGATTCATTTTACACAGAACAGTGAGGGTGCAAGATGTCTGGACTCCACTTGAACTGGAGGTTCAAAGTACCACATTCTTTTTCCCCAGGCGAAAGCGTGTTTCTTTAGCTTCATGTGGAGTTTGTGAAGCGTGCGTTTATTTTATTTTTTTTTTTGCTCTTCCAAAACTGTGGTTATGTTTACTTATTACTGATAGGTGCTTGGCACAACTTCATGCATCTAACTCGTGGCAAGCGCTAATTAAATCCGGCCAACCAACCCCTAGTTAACGCGCATACCCCGCTCACCAGTAGGTGGCCGTGGTCGCAAAGCTATTGTGGGTGCGAAGTGTCACGTTAGTAAGAGGGTTGAAGAATAAAGTGGTAGAGGCGCTGATTCTCGTGTAAGTGCTATTTAAGTCATTTAGACTTGTGTTACTGATATTCTTACTGGCTTTCATCCCAAGTCAACAGTAATGTCTTGCCTTCTCTCTGCAGTGCCTACTCATTTTAAAGTGGCAATTTAACAATGTTCTAATTACAGGAAAGATGAGATGAACATGTGAATTCACCCAGGGACCTTAGTATCTGGCAGCAGTAAACATGATTTTTATATTCATATTTTAAAGTATGTTTATTTTGTTGTTTGTGGTTCCTTTACCTCCTGTCCCAAGCGTTGTCTGATTAATTCAGGGGCCACAGGTGGCATTCTCCAGTTTTTAAGGCACGTTCAGGCTTGACCTCACTTTCACTTTAGGTTATATTTAGTTAATTATTTTTAGGCCTTAGGTTTGGAAAGCTGTTTAGTAGTAAAAGTAATTTTTTTTTGCCACAATAGCGATCATACTCCTTCAAAACTGTGTAACTTCCGTGCTTTCCTTTTCAGGTGAGCAGTTAAACTCGTTTTCTGCCTTACAGGCTGCAGGTGTGGGGGCTTGAGTTTCCTCACAGGTGGTGGTCACGTGCTGGCTCCCAGTTTATATGAGGTGGGGTATAAGCAGTTCCAGCTTCATTCTTCCTTGGTATGTGGATGTAGTAGCTGATCTCTTAACTACTAGACTATGTACAGGTACAGGAAAACGTTTTTAGCTGTTCAGAAAGAAACTGTTGCATACACGGCTGTGCTTTTGTTCATCTAAGGGAGAGGCAGCTGGCCAAATGGTATTGCACAGTGAGTACTGACCACAATAAGTCATTGGGATTTTCATTCTTGCCTTTTACTTTTTGGTTTTTGGTGTTATTGCTGATGTGCTCCTCTCTTGGATTTTTACAGTCCTGCCAAATAGGATGAAAGCTGAGTAAATTACTGTGTACGTCTACAGTGTTGGTGAAATACCCGCTCGGTCACAGTCCTGTCTCTTAGGTGTATTGTGTTTGAATTCAGTAGTACATGCTTTTCCTAATAGAAGGTCCTCCAGTTGACGTTGGTGGGGAAACTTATGCGTTTTAGTGGGAGCACGCAGCAGCTTTTTTTGCTGCCTTTCAAGTTGTTCTGCCAGAAATAGAGGCAAGCTCAAAACAGACGTTTCTCTTGTGTGCCATTTCCTCTCTCTGCTGTTCTAGAATAAGACTTCTGATAGCGAGCATTGTGCTGTGCTGCTCAGCATCCGTGAAGGAAAGGGAGCAGGACAAACAAAGCAAAGTGCATGTGTAAGCAAGGTCAGTATGTCAGGACTAGATTGTCCACCTGGACAAATGTGCCTTTTTGGTGTTGGAAATCTATCCCCAGTTTGCTACTGTTGTGCCTGCCAGAGGAGATGGCATTTCACCACAGATGTGACCCTTTGCCTTAAGGGCACTTACAGGGAAACAAATGTTGCCTTGAGTGTTCCTCTAAATTATGTTTTGCAGTTGAGAGTAACCTTTTACATAACAAGCTGTGCTCTATTCCGATTGGGATGGATCTGAGTTTCCACGATGATAGCAGATGTCTAACCTTAAGTTTGCAGAGATCTCAGAGACGAGGGAGGCATGGGAGAGGCTGCCTG